GACCTTCCCTGTCGCAATGCATGTAATATACTTTGAATCATTGTTCTGCTGAAATATCATTTTATTCTTCTAAATTTTGCATTTGTCACGATTTCCTTCTAGTGGTTGCAAGTATACGTAACCTGCGGTGCAAAAGTAATTGCCGAAATCTCCAGTCATAGTTCTCTGCTCAGGAACATCGTAGAAAGTTCGTTCTTTTTCTAGTTGAAAGAGCAACGCCTGAACTTCAAAAATATAGGAAATCAAACTTTTGGGATTGGCTTTGAGGAAGAAAAAAGTGCGATACCAAACGTGGCTAAAAAGCTCTTGCAACATACTTTTTCTTACTTTTGTTTTTAGAGTCTGAAGAAAAACGTTTTGTCGATAATCAAATAGATGAGAAAATAGCCCGTGCAAACTATATCGATCTCCCAACTTTAAGAAGTTTCTCAGTGATTCTTTAACGGTAAATAAAGCGCACTATGAGTCTTAGTTTTGATAGAAAGCACTACTTTGCATGGGAAACATGAGACATGGAGAAAGATTCGTTATTCGGGACTCTAAACATGTTAGTAAAAGTTAAAACTGATTTGAATTTGTAGACAATTGCATACTGTTCCAGAAAACGTGTTTTAGAAAAAGGAGCAAAATTCGTCCAACATCTGAAAATGAAAATTCCAAAAATTTTGTTTCGTAGGTTTTTTGAAATTGAGACTCTGCTCTTTTAACCAGAAAACGAATGAACTTTCTACGAGGTCCCTGAGCGGAGAACGGTGGCTACAGATTTCGGCAATTACTTGTGCACCGCGGATTATGTGAAAAAAAAACCAATTATTACAGTTCTGTATCACTGAAGGCGACTGAGCGATTAATTCCAATTTGATGGTAGACTTGTTTTTCAACTCATCAGTATATTGACTCTATTTAAACGATGGCATTGAACGTAATTGAGACAGGTTTTTCTCACTAACGTGGTGGATAAAAAATGTGTGGCCATCACTGTACCTTGTGCCATTGTTAAAAATAGAAAACTGACTTTTTGTGAGTAAAACGGTGGGAATGTAAACTGAGCGATCAAGAAAAAGATAAAGTAGGGAAAACCGATTAAAATCATTAATGGTACGAGAATAATGAGTCGTTTGAACATTCGAAATTCTCGTCGACGACGACGATGCTTTTCGCCATTTGTGTTATGTAGAACACGTTTCAAATGTCGCACAATCCCAATCAGAATCATCATTAACCACATTACGGGTAGAAAATAAATGATCATTGCCATGTAGAAAAATGCTTTGAGATTTGTCATTGTTGCTTGACAAATGAGACTTCCTGGTTGGTATTCGATTTGATGTGTTATGAGAATAGGCAGAGCAAAAGAAATGGATAAACTCCATTGAATCAAGATAATGATAAGATTGAACAAAACAGAGTTTAACAAAGGTTTTTCGGGATAGATAATTGAGCAGAGACGATTGAATGCTTGAATACAAATGGTATGAAATAACATACCTGTTCCACTATGTTCAAAATAACCTCGAAGTTCACACAGTTGATCTTGGACACCGTCACTTCTCATCATGTAGATGGCATCGCTCAACGTTGTTGAATTGGCGATGAGAGCAGCGAGACAAAAATTACACGATAAAATATTAGCGGTTGTACGACATTCGAAATTGAGAGCAACAGTGATGATAAATAGAAGAGCAAATAATAGACCGACACAACTGAATGAAATCATGATTAGATCCGTGAATAGATACCATTTCCAAGTAGATGAGGTGAATAAAATGGTTGAATTGGTCATCGATAAACTTTTGTTTAATACATCGAGTATGAAGTCATGAAATTATTTGCGCATCATACAGTGATGCATGGTTGACACGTCAAAGAAAATGTTGAAGATTTATTTCATTCAGTTAGAGAATGAAGACATGATAAAAAGAGAGAGAAAGTAAATTAGTTATTGCTGACAAGTAATGAGAGTGTTCATCGTGGATAAAAAAGTGTCACGTTAACTCAGTCCACCATTTTAACTATCGAAGCCTGTATTGCTTGGAGTTTGAAGTTTATTTAGAGAAATGTCATACATTATAAAAATAACTCGAGTTCTCAGCAAAATAAAACCTTTAAACAAATGAGATTGTTTAGTTCGTACTGTGGATCGTAAGCAATGTTGACATACTATATATATGTTGTAGGCAAACTTATAATTCAGTCAAATTTAAAATCTGCATGGTCATAATTAAAATTTTAATTTTGACAGAATTTTAAGTTTACCTACAACATATGCATGTTGTATAGAGGATTTTTGTCAGTATAATAAACTCAGTGACGGATATAATTCCTTCAGAATTATATTTTTGTATAACATTTTGTCTTGATTGCGCTAAATTGCTTTTCTATGATCTTCTCCTCGTGACAGAATGAAAATGACAGATTATATCTAACGAAATTATTGAAGTTTTATTCCATTCAATGAGAAAATGATGGCATGATAAAAAGAAAGAGATTGATGACAGCTAGTAAGACTGTTAATTGTAGACAAAAAAAAGGGAAAAATGTGTTTTAATCAGCAAATTTATTAGTAGACAGAAACGAAAAAGAATATAAAGAAAATATGTGTATATAACAAGAAATATGACAGAACAAAAGTTTCATTGCAATGGTTGTAGTTTTATCTACGATAAACAATTTTTGGACATTCAATGTTTCTATAGTAAAAAATGTAGTTGTAAAGTTGTTTTTATAAAGAAAAGTACAGTAAACTTCCTCTTCAAAATGACTATCTATTTATCCCGCTAGTTTATAGTAAGAAAGTTATAACCTTGGAAACGTTTCTAATTATATCGGGTGTACCATAAATAATGTCGAGCTCCGTATTTTGCTCTAACTCAGAATTTCAAGTAAGAAAACTAGGCAAATTATATGAAAGGCGAAATAAATGAGAACTTATGAATTTGGTATTTTTTTCGACTTGAACTTCAACTTTTTTCCGCTATTATTTCCGTAAAAAGCGTAGCAAAGTGAGAACACAGTTTGTGTTTGTTACTTTCAAATGTGGTCTTTCTCGTGGCCTGTAAAAAGTTAAAAGGAGAAGCTAGCTCAGTCTAAACTTATTTCGTATCGCAATACCTTCGCGAACTAAAATTGCACTAATTAGAGAAGACCCATTTCCATTTTTTACACTAGTTTAAAACACACGAGTTACGCACGATACTGATCCACTTTTTAGAAAAGGATCCCATTCAGTCATTGAAAACTCATTTTTTATTGAAAAATAAAAATTAAATTCTTCAAAATGAGATCTTCAACTAGTTCATCGAAAACACGAAGAATACGTTTCTTTAGAGCATACGACAGGCGGCTGTTTCCCTCGTGCAATAGCACTTTCTCTCGTCAAGCATAAGGTGAAATACTGAAGATCAATGTGAATCATGGAGAGAACAGCCGAAAGAGTAGCCGAACTATGCCCACATGGATCAATAGTCGAAGTACTAGACACAACGCGACAGTATTTAACATGTTTCAAACAACACCGATTATCATTGGGTATTATAATATTTTTGGCCATAAACACACAATCCCGATCGATCTCTGAAACCGTGTGACAGCTGACTTTTCCAGCATTGCTCCACACACACACACACAACATTGACTGCAATAGCAAACCATAGATATCTCTCAGTTAGCCGTTACAAGATCTGTAAGGTATGCCTTCTATTTACCTACCTATGTGATGACAAACAAAACATTAGCGCAAAATCGACTTTTTATACGGGGAACAGAATCAGTCCAAATTTTTTTTCTGAAGAGCTTATTATGTGCATCGACGCGCAGCAAAGTATCTCTTGATTCAAATCACTTTTCGCGCGAATAGTAGCGCCACTTAAAACGCGCTACTATTCGCGCCAAAATGCGAAAAGTGATTTGAATCAAGAGATACTTTGCTGCGCGTCGATGCACATAATAAGCTCTTCAGAAAATTTGGATCGATTCTGTTCCCCGTATAAAAAGTCGATTTTGCGCTAATGCTCATTTGAATTCCTACAGAACCTGGCGACAACTGTTCATCTAGGACCCATCGGTGGTACTGAACTCAGATCACAATCCATTTTCATAAAATCATCCTGAAAAACAGCTAAACCTGCACAGATTCGTAGGAAATCTGATACAACGCCCGAAGCGCGGAAAATCAAGGTCTCACTTAACTCTCAATTTGAAAAGGACACCCTGGGCTACCAGTCTGTGAAAACAAATCAATACAATCCTATTAGAAAACTTTTACACATGAGTTAGTTTTCCAAAGATCTCCTAGAAAACCTGTTTCAGAAAGCTCTTCTGGAAAACATTTTGGTTATGAAAACATGTCCCCAAGTCTCCTCTTTCGAATGGTGAAAATTGAAGCTCTTTAGCTTTTTCCTATCAAAAGTTACTCAAAAACAGTCATATACCATTCTTTTGGACAATAGTAAATAAGCAAAACTGATATCTAAGATAAAAAAGAGATTGTAAACAAGGCACTTATTTCTGAAAGTGGTGTGAAGACCACTTTTCTGTTCGAACTTTTTGCAGTTTTCATCTACTTTTTAACTTTCCTACATGCAACAGAATTAAAGCATGATGTTCCTGAAGAGGAAACCGGGTAAAACATGATGAAATCAGTATGTCAATTACCTTAAGAAACACTTTATTTTGAGAGATCTCGTATTTCTTTTTCAGTCTTTATTTATAACTGATTTCACAATGAATAGTAGCAGGAAATTGCTAGACAATCCCTCGACTCTTTGTAAAAAAACACTTTGTAGATTTTTGGTCAAACAGAAAAAACCTTTTGGTTTTTAAATATGCTTTTTTCGGTTTAAGGTGATAAAAGAGCCCTTACTTGCCAAGGACTTTGACAAAGTACTTCTTAGCAATAAAAGCAAGTATTTCTATCTTTGGAAAGTATATCATGCAGGTATAAATTTTAGTTATACAACAAAAGGATTTAAAGAAGACTAGTGTGTCTATATTTAGCGTGTCTATATTCCATCAGTAGATTCATCGATATATGCATCTAGCCAAACCAACAGAAAATTTTGAATAAGTTCTTGTGATTCAATGCATCGACGATCACCTTTTGCAATCTCCAAATTTTTTGGTGGTGCCGTCGGTGGTGGTGATGAAGGCGTGAGATGGTGAGCATTGAGAGAACTAACTGTTGGCACCGAAGCACTGCAACCCATCGTTTGCGTACTTTTGAAAGATCTGAGTATGGATGTTGGTTGTCAGAAGTGAAATTCCCAATGCGAAGACAAAAAGAGAGGGGTCCTTTGTTAAATTGTACTAATACATGTACTATACAAAACACGCTAATTCAATGATCAGTAATAATCATTCCTTCAGCAGACGTGGCCAGTCAGAAAGGAATTCGTATGATTAGGATGGTATATCTAAGCGTTTGTTTACTTTTTGGATCAGATGATCAAGACCGAAAGTGATCTACTAGTTGTGGACTTACTGCGCTTCAACAGTCTTGGTACTCGACCACTATTTGCCGTAAGTTGCTTTGAGCTGAAACGCCGTACTGCGAAAATGAATGAATGAAATTTCAATTAAATTCATCGTATAGCTATCTCTGTAACATTATTGATCGTAAATAACGTGCGAGATATTTTAAATGGCATGTTAGAAAAAGTTACCATTTATTTTATTTCGATCGAATTATAATGAAACAGAGTAACCTTTTTGTTTTTTATTATTTCTTTAAGAGATAGTTTTCTCTTTAAAATGCAAATCATTAAGCATTACTTTTGAATTTCAGTCCATCGAGATGAATGCACATACACTGACCTATATTACTCTTCTCGTTATTAACAAACAAGTACCTCCGGAAGCTCTTTGCACCTGATTATTTAGCTCACAAGCATGCGAATCAACGTTTCGTGCAGCTCGGTCAATGTGTGAGCCTTTCTCTACTGTTAACAGCTTTTCTATGGCTGAGTTCTTACGTCGACCGGAGAAGCTGTCTGTTCTTCAAACAATCAGGGGCGAAGCGGAATCGGATTCAAATTTTACTTTTTGTTTCCCTCATCATCACAAACAACCGAAATTTAAAAGAAAGTTGACATCTACTCAGCCCATTGCTGTATCTGTCTATATATGAAATCGAACAGACAGTACAGCCTGCTTTTGCCGATGCCTGTGACCTAGTGCTACCTCTTGGTGTCAATATTTTGAACAATAATGGAAATCCAATAACACTTGATGAAGTCAGTATCGTCATCAAGACCTACTTAGGAAAAACAGCAATGATCAAGTATTCGAGTGAACAAAAAGAACTTTCATATTCAAGCTTAGAATCAGATAGTGATCTGAGTACTTGTACGTCTGAACCTACTGAAACGACATTCGATTCCGACAATTGATTTCTGTTTGATTGGAAGGACATAATGAATTGAATCAAGGTGTTGAATACTCTTCCGTATTAAAGATCTTTCTTTATTCGAAAAAATGTGACGTTTCGGTGTCGATTGGCACCTTCATCAGATAACAGGATGCATACACTCACACTCTCTTATATACACACGCACACACTCCTTCTCGACAGTTCTTCGTCTTTTTCGTTCGTACATATTGTTTCTCGTTCTTTCGCTTATGCTCTATGATAGCGGGACGGCAAGACGGTGATACTGGAGGA